GTCGGTAGTCCAGCTCCTGCCAAACACGTTGTAGCATGTCTTGCGTAACATTATCCAGCGCCTCGGTGATTCTCTATTTAAGTTCCTCTAGGCCTGATTCTGTTCTACACATAGTCTCATAGAAAAAAATCACAAGGTGTCAAGTCAAGTGAACATGGTGGCCATTTCAACAGTACATTGTCATTGTCACTGGCACAGCGGAACCATCTTCCTTGTAGATTCTCATAGAGATAAGTCTGCACAGTCAACTAGTTTTTATAAATTTTCATTATTATTATTATTATTTTATATTTTATTTTTATTTATTTATAATAATAATGTCCCGACATGCCCACCTCCCATAAATAATGGACATCAATTAAAATGTGAATATCTGAGTAACTACATGTCCCAGGCAAACGAAATTAAATAGGCTTCATGTTCATCAATAAAAAGATTTATTTATTAAAAGAGGAAGGAGATATTTAAAGGAATGTAGATTTTATAACCGATTTTACAAAGCTTCATAAATGTTCAATATGCATACCACCTGTGACACAACATTCGTCAAGTCGGTAGTCTAGCTCCTGCCAAACACGCTGTAGCATGTCTTGCGTAACATTCTCAAGTGCCTCAGTGATTCTTTTCTTAAGTTTTTTTTTTTTTTTTTTTTTTAAGCGTTTCACCCCAAGCAAGGCGGAAAGCCACTAGGACGCAAGGGGTGACAGAAAATTTGGAGCAAGGTCAGATAGGAGTGATAGAAGAAAGGATGAGGAGAAGAGTAGTGAATAGATCAACGCAACTGGAGATACAGAGATACAGAGGCCAGAGAGAGAGAGAGAGAGAGAGAGTACCGAAAACCCTTCCTAAACAAGAAACAAGGCGAAAGCCTCTACTCATGTCCAAGAGAAGGGGGAGGAGTGTGGACCGGGCGGTAGGAAAGCCTACCTACTCCTATTTTCTCTAGGCTTGTAGGAAGAGGGGGATATAGACCTGTCCTTTCACATAGCCCTAAAAAAAAAACAATCACAAGGTGTCAAGTCAGGTGAACATGGTGGCCATTTCAACAGTACATTGTCATTATCATTGGCAACCCGGAGCTTGTAGATTCTCATTGAGATAAATCTGCACAGTAAACTTAGTTTTTACAATTTTTTTTTAAATTTAAGATCATTAGAACGAGAATTGTCTATGTTATGACACTACAAAATGATGACAATTTTTTTTTTGTAGTGGGGGCGGGGGCACCCTGTATATTTCATGTTCGCGTTAATCTGAAATAACACTGGTGCGTTAAAACTGTTCCCAAGAGAAGAACAAAATTTGATACACATTCCCTAACGATTTTACCAGATGAACATTTGCAATGAATTTTCTTAAAGTCACAACAACAAATGTCAAATGCGAAAACAGACGACGACTTGTATTCAGTTCTGGACAACAATCCTTCTATTGTTTGTTTTGTAGGCTAACCCCCCCCACCTCAATCAGTCGGTTCACAACTACAATAATGACAATCGATCATGGCATTCAAACAAGACTGGAGTACAAGAAAAGAAATGAAGAAAACTGTTTGACAGATTGTCCGAACACGAAAACAGTACAGTGCACAAAAGATAATATTGTCTCGTGTGGCGTGAGTTGGAGAGGTGTTTAGTGATGCTGAGAGCCTGGGACTGAATCCGATGTATCAAAAAGAAACCAGAAGCGAGATTAAGAAATAGCGAAAAGATGCAGTAATTTTTAGGGTAAAGAGGATTTGTCCATGGATCATCCCAGAGAATTAGTAACAGCGAAACTCCTTGAGAATTATTCAAATCCTGACGAAAGCCGATATATTACGAAACTTCTTAAACTTCAGAGCCGCTAATATCTGAAGCAACTTTTTACTGAGTAAATCTTTTAATAAAATCGACATTTTTTTTAATTATTTGATATTAAAACAAGGTTATGTGCAAGGTTTATCTATAGACTTAGTAGGGTGAAGCCTAGAGCTTCAAAATCTAGGGAGCCTCCAGCCAAGGTGTATATTTTTCAGACCATCATAAACTTTTCTTGCACATGCTGTCAGAAAGCAATGAAGACTCTAAAGAATTCAATAACTTTCCTTACATCCCACTTCAGAATAATAATAAACATTGGATTAAACTATGCAAGAACTAGTCCACCTTACCTCGTTATGAATTCCGGGGAAATGGGGCTAATCAAAACCGGGTGAAGCAAAAGACAAGACTATATAGGAAGGAAGGGTAAAAAGCCTTTATTTCATTGGCTGATGTTGACTGACGTTCAGCTTACCTCGTTATGAATTCAGGGGAAATGGCGCTAATCAAAACCGGGTGAAGCAAAAGACAAGACTATATAGGAAGGAAGGGTAAAAAGCAATTGGCTGATGTTGACTACGTTCATTACCTCATTATGAATTCCGGGAAATGGCGCTAATCAAAACCGGGTGAAGGGACAAGACTATATAGGAAAGGCCTTTAATTCATTGGCTGATGTTGACTGACGTCCAGTTTACCTCGTTATGAATTCCGGGGAAATGGCGCTAATCAAAACCGGTTGAAGCAAAAGACAAGACTATATAGGAGGGAAGGGTGAAAAGTCTTTAATTCATTGGCTGATGTTGACTGACGTTCAGCTTACCTCGTTATGAATTCCGGGGAAATAGCACGAATCAAAACCGGATGAAGCAAAAGACAAGACTATATAGGAAGGAAAGGGTAAAAAGCCTTTATTTCATTGGCTGATGTTGACTGACGTCCAGTTTACCTCGTTACGCATTCCGAGGAAATGGCGCTAATCAAAACCGGATAAAGCAAAAAAACAAGACTTTATAGGAGGGATGGGTGAAATGCATTTTTTTCATTGGCTGATGTTGGCTGATGTATGTCAATAAGAACGTTTGGACTCCTAGCCATATCTGATTTTTTTTTTTTTCAATGTCGAGGTGCGTAGCACGACGCTATTAAGGGTGCGGCCTGACCCTTTTAGAATCAGGTCGGGGTTGCCTTTGAGCCGATATGATGCAAAACCCGTAACCGGCGACGAAGACCGTGCCTCACTGAAGACCACCCTTGATGCACCTGGAATGTATTATTCAAATACTCTTAAGTTGATAACTTGATGCTAGTATTAATTTTTTTTATAGATTTTTTTTTAAATTTTAACATTCATGCATTTTTTCAATCGCATACTGTATTTAATAAAATCTTGTGTCATTCAGGCGAGGAATTGCCAACTGTAGAATTTTAAACACCGGCCATCATTTTCGGCTTTCCTCAAATTGTTTAATTTAACACTCTTCCATTTTTCTTTACTTGTAAGAATGGGGGATTTGGTAAAGCCTCACAAGTGGAATAACCTAGGGCTTCTCTTCATCTAAACCCGGTCCTGGCTTTGTTAGTGATAGAATCACACGTCACTGAGTTGGACTGCTTAATATTGATCTAAGAATATGCTTCAGTAACCATTTCACTTGGCATCAAAATTTAAATATTTTTCTTGTGTGCTTACAGCGTCCGATAACCCCTGATTGTATGGTTTGGTTGGGCTCACTAAAATCAATTCATTACGTAAATCTTTGCTACTGGTTCCTCAACTCTTTTGTTGGTGGACAACTTATAGATCAATTGTTAGACTAGAAACAATCGGAATCATAAAAAAACAACTGAATTATCAGCCTGGCTTGTGTATTCTAACATTAAAAATCACATTTTCACCTCTTTTCTAACGAAATCCAATCGTCTGATGACCTCTTGCTGTTCTTTTATTGTCCTTTCTCCAGACTAAAGTCGTCTCGTTTTCTTTCATTGTAACCCTTGATGTTTTAGTGGCATTATCGCCTTGCCTGGAGAAAAAAATTATTAAAGAAAATATAAAACATAAAGTCTGACCACAAGAACTGTGTAACGACCATCATCGCCATCACCCACACATACATACAGATCATACGGCAAGCATTCATTGGTTAATCTCTTCAAAACTAGTTTGCTGATTGGTCAATTTCGACCAATCAAATCGCCTGCACGCGAGGAATAATTTTCCTGCGCACAAGGCTGGGAGCCTGTCACGTGAGACACAACCTTATATAAACAAAACACGAATAAGCCTCTCTCTGGTTCTCTTCATTCATCTATTTCCTTGCTGTCAAGATGTAGTCTTCAAGAGCTCCCGTCTTAACCGTGCGGTCAGACATTAAAGAACATTGCCAACAACTCTTACCGACTTTTCACAAGTCGCCAGTAGAGTCCAGCAAATTTCGCCTGTCAACAAAAACCTATGACTTTACACAGAACATTTCAAACGCACACACAGACACAGAATTTTGTAATACATACAGTGTAACCCGGATATAAGAGACCCGGATATAAGAGAGATTTTCTCTGGTCCCAAATTAGAGCCTGTGTTAATGTATATAAAACAGACCAAACCCGGATATAAGAGAAACCCGGATATAAGAGACTTCTTCTCCGGTCCCGACAAATCTCTTATATCCGGGTTACACTGTATATGCATATCTCTCTATGACTCAGCCAAGTTCAATCAACCAGGACTCTGTTAATTTCTCTGACACAACACACTTTCTGATCAATTGTATTCTTGTGTTATCTATTCTAACAAACAGTCCTTTGTCCTAATATTGATTCCTGAACATTTTTCTCTCATGAGAACTTTCTTTCGAACAATCAAATACAAATCAAAATACGGTAAAAAGGAAGCAACTTCTTTTCCTTTACATTGCACACAATATTATTTTATATTTCATTCATGTATGTTATTTCAATATATACTTGTTGATTCACATTTGGAGTTTCGTTGTTGTCTTCAATCATTTATTATACAAAAGTAAAACTTATACAGAGGCGAAAAAACACTCAGCCTACATAACAACTGCAATCTCGTAAGTAAAAGCCTTTCCAAAAAACAAAAACTAATACGATGTCTGGGAATTGGTACGAGCTGAGAATTTTCAGCCCACCTCATGTATAAACCTATGAAGTTAAAGAAATTTGAACGAATTAGAAAGAAAGAAAGAAAGAAAGAAAGAAAGAAAGAAAGAAAGAAAGAAAGAAAGAATTCGAAGTTACTGATTCCAAAATGGCGGTGTCTGTAGGAGAAATCGCTGAACAGCCGAACAGGAAAGGAAAATAAGACGGGGTAATAAGAAGTTAAGGCATACGTGCATGGCAGAATCAGTGAAATAGGGGCCCTTTCTTCTGAAACAGAAAATAAATAGGGGTTAAAGAACTCTTCTGATTAAGACGAAGATGAAAAAAAAGAATCCTCAGAAACTGCTGTTGGGGGCGATCAAGGGACCAAACTTGTTTGGAAATAAACCATACCCCTGGGGAGGTGTGGGTGTGTGTGTGTGGGTGTGTGTGTGTGTTTGTAGTAAAGAGAGGACATGTAGAGAAAGACGAACTGCGACCAAAATGAATAAAGACAGAAAGAAAACCGAAGAGTGACAGGTTTCTGGGAAAGCAAACTAAAAAAGGAAACTTTGTCAAAAATGCAGAAGAAAGAGAGTGAAGTGGATAAATATTTAAAAAAAGATAGAAACTAAACTAATGGAATGATAAAAAAAAATCAGTCAAGATATATTAGGCGTGGTGAGCGGCGAGAAATGAAAAAAAAACAAAAAACAAAAAAAACGTAATTGACAACCAGACGATAAAAATGTAAAAACCTATAACAAAATGGAAGCAAACGTTATTATTTGACTGACCAGTATCAGAGAGATTTTATGCAAAGAAAGTAAGAAAGCCAGCAAGCATGGATAAATAAAAGAAAAAAAAGGACATGAAAGCAATAACGAAAAGAGAATATTAAAAAAAAAAAACGGAGAAAGGGTGAAAGAGTAAATAGAAAGAAAGAAAAACGGAACAGAAACGAAAGAAAGTAAATGAAGAAGAAAAGAAATAAATTAAACAAACGTTCGCTAAAGAAAACACTGAAGAAAAAAAAAGAGGGAAGACGAAAACAAAGGCTCTCTAAAAGATACCATGATGAAAAGTCTAGAGCCAAAAAAAGAGGAGGACGAAAGAAAGGACCCGCGGCATTATCGTATGACTAAGATAAATGGCGAGGCTTAGATTGAGTGGCAAGGCTTTTGATTTCCCTCAGCTTTGATCTTGCCGCTTTTCTCGGTTGCCTTTGCCGCCGCAGGCGTTGGCTTCTCTCCTTATGCCTTCCACGGCCATCATTGGTTTCAAAATAAAAATAAGATTGAAAAGGAAATGACCGCAGATCCCTCGGGTCGTAAAATGTAAGCCTTCTTGAACACGAATGTAGATCTCCTCCCTGAATACGCACGTTGGCCACTTCACCTGTTTAGCTCAAAGCGACTCTCCCCAGGGTCGTTTTAAAATTATTTTGAAAAGGATCAGAAACGAATGAGAGAAATGGGGGTGGAGAGAGAGAGAGAGAGAGAGGTGGAAGGAAAGAAGGGGGAATGAATTTAAGAAAAGAAATGATACAGAAAGAGAGAGAGAAATAGGAAGGAGGGGAAAGAATATTAGAGAAAAAATAAAGAGAAAAGAAAAGGATATAGAGAAAGAGAAAAAAGAGAGAGAGAAAAAAAAAAATCTAAAAGGAAAAAAAAAAGAAAAAAAAGGAAGGAAAGAAAAAAGGAAAGAAAACGAAAACGAGAGAAAGAAAAGGAAAAAAAAAAAGAATTGAAAGAAAGAAAAGGAAGGAAGGAAGGAAGGAAGAAAGGAAGGAAGGAAGGAAGGAAAGGAAAAAGAAGGAAAACCAAAAGAAAAGAAAAAAAGGAAGGAAAGGAAAGAAGGAAAACTAAAAACTAAAAGAATTGAAAGAAAGAAAAGGAAAGAATAACTAAAAGGAAGGAAGAAAGGAAAGGAAGGAAGAAAACCAAAAAGAAAAATGAAGGAAGGAAGGAAGGAAAGAAATGAAAAAAAAAACTAAAAGAATTGAAAAGAAAAGAAAAAAAAAAAGAAAACGAAAAAAAAAAGGAAAAGGAAGGAAAGAAAAAACTAAAAGGAAGGAAGAACCAAACGAAAGGTAGGAAAGAAAAAGGAGAGAAAAAAAAAAGGAAAGAAAAACAAAAAAAAAGGAAAGAAAAAAAGGAAGGAAAAAAGGAAGGAAGGAAAGAACGAAGAACCAAACAAAAAGAAGGAAGGAAGGAAGGAAGGAAAAAGAAAAAAAAATTGAAAGAAAAAGAAAAGGAAAGAATAACTAAAAAAATTGAAAGGAAGGAAGAACCAAACGAAAAGGAAGGAAAGAAAAAACAAAAGAATTGAAAGAAAGAAAAGGAAAGAAAAACGAATGGAAAGGAAAAAGAAAAAAAGGAAGAAAAGGAAGGAAGGAAGGAAGGAAGGAAGGAAAAGAAGGAAGGAAGGAAGGAAGGAAAAAAACAAAAGAATTGAAAGAAAGAAAAAAAAAACTAAAAGGAAGAAAAACTAAAAACAAAAAGGAAGGAAGAACCAAACGAAAGGTAGGAAAGAAAACGAAAGGAGAGAAAAACTAAAAGGAAGGAAGAACCAAAACGAAAGGAAAAAGGAAAACAAAAAAAAAAGGAAGGAAAAGGAAAGGAAGGAAGGAAGGAAGAACCAAACAAAAAGAAGGAAGGAAGGAAGGAAGGAAGGAAAGAAGGAAGGAAAGAAGGAAAACTAAAAGAATTGAAAGAAAGAAAAGGAAGGAAAAACTAAAAGGAAGGAAGGAAAGAACGAAGAACCAAACAAAAAGAAGGAAGGAAGGAAAGAAGGAAAAAACAAAAGAATTGAAAGAAAGAAAATGAAAGAATAACTAAAAGGAAGGAAGAACCAAACGAAAGGAAGGAAAGAAAACGAAAGGAGAGAAAGAAAAGGAAGGAAGGAAGGAAGGAAGGAAGGAAGGAAAAAACAAAAGAATTGAAAGAAAGAAAAGGAAAGAAAAACTAAAAGGAAGGAAGAACCAAACGAAAGGTAGGAAAGAAAACGAAAGGAGAGAAAGAAAAAGGAAAGAAAAACTAAAAGGAAGGAAGGAAGGAAGGAAGAACCAAACAAAAAGAAGGAAGGAAGGAAGGAAGGAAGGAAAGAAGGAAGGAAAGAAGGAAAACTAAAAGAATTGAAAGAAAGAAAAGGAAGGAAAAACTAAAAGGAAGGAAGGAAAGAACGAAGAACCAAACAAAAAGAAGGAAGGAAGGAAGGAAAGAAGGAAAACTAAAAGAATTGAAAGAAAGAAAAGGAAAGAATAACTAAAAGGAAGGAAGAACCAAACGAAAGGAAGGAAAGAAAACGAAAGGAGAGAAAGAAAAGGAAGGAAGGAAGGAAGGAAGGAAGGAAGGAAGGAAGGAAGGAAGGAAGGAAGGAAGGAAGGAAAAAACAAAAGAATTGAAAGAAAAGAAAAGGAAAAAGAAAAAAAGAAAAAACTAAAAGGAAGGAAGGAAAGAACCAAACGAAAGGTAGGAAAAGAAAACGAAAGGAGAGAAAACTAAAAGAAAAGGAAAGAAACTAAAAAGGAAGGAAGGAAGGAAGGAAAAGGAAAGAAGGAAGGAAGGAAGGAAGGAAGGAAGGAAAGAAAAGGAAGGAAGGAAAGGAAGGAAAAAAGAAAAAAAAAAAGAATTGAAAGAAAGAAAAAAGGAAGGAAAAACTAAAAGAAAACGAAAGGAAGGAAGGAAGGAAGGAAGGAAGGAAGGAAGGAAGGAAGGAAAACTAAAAGAATTGAAAGAAAGAAAAGGAAAGAAAAACTAAAAGGAAGGAAGGAAGGAAGGCAGGAAGGAAGAACCAAACGAAAAGAAGGAAGGAAGGAAGGAAGGAAGGAAGGAAGGAAGGAAGGAAGGAAGGAAAACCAAAAGAATTGAAAGAAAAGAAAGGAAAAAAGCTAAAAGGAAGGAGGGAAGGAAGGGAGAAAAATAGAAGAAAGGAAAACCAAAAGAAAGAAAGAAAAAGGGAAGGAGCGAAAGAAAGAAAGAAAAATTAAAAGCAAGAAAGAACAGAAGAAGTAAAAGGAGACAACACAAAGTTCCAAAGATAAAATTATGAGGAGAGAGAAAAGTTGCAAAAAAACAAAGAATGGGAAGGAAAGAGTAACATAGAGAAAGAAAAATAAATTGTTAAAGAAACATGGGGACGGGGGCATAACGTAGTCAGATAAAGAGAGCGGGTAAAAGAAAGAGCCGAGAACGAGCATCAACAAGAGTGAGGATCGAACTCACAAAATCATTTTCTGGCTTTCTCTCTACAATCTTTCGCTCTACAGTAGGAAGACCAATTCAGCTGTTTATGGCCATTTACTAAATCTAAACTCAACTTTGACTCATGACCCGCAATGCACCTAAAGGGACATTTACGTACACATGCATACAGATCTGTAAATATATCTGTCTATATACAGTGTAACCCGGATATAAGAGAGTTGTCGGGACCGGAGAAGAAGTCTCTTATATCAGGGTTTCTCTTATATACGGGTTTGGTCTATTTTATATCCATTAACACAGGCTCTAATTTGGGACCAGAGAAAATCTCTCTTATATCCGGGTTTCTCTTATCCGGGTTACACTGTAATTATAAAATTACTTATTAGACACACATATGCATACATGTTAATATATGCATTATTGATGTTAATTTATAAATATATATACGTAATTATGCAGCTCATATTGGCAATATATCATAAAACATATACGATATATGTGCTATATGGAGTAATGGATAGCGGCTCGGATTGAGGAATCGGAGAGCCGAGTTCGAATTCCAGTCGAATGCGTTACAGTCACTTACATGCTAATACCCTTGGGAATGGTATGAATCCTCTTCTCCTCCCCCTCCAGGTATGGGTTATTTACCCACGACAGACTGGGTTCTATAGCCTTGAATGGTAGCTAGTCTAGGAGAAGGTCAACACTGAAGTCAATAACCTGAGGAGGGTCGGTTGGTACACCAGTTCTCTGTATCCGACGCTTTTTTGCACAAAACCTTAACCACTATAACCAAATCATATGTTGTAGTGTCGGTTCCTAGTCGCTTCACCTTCATACGTCGAATACGACGGGAGAGTACTCCATTATATATATATATATATATTCAGGGTGACAAAAAAAAACGGGAACTTTTTAACAATCCAATAAAACCAAGAGTGATGAAAGAAAAATATTCTATTCATAGTAATTGAAACCTAAAAACATGCCATTTAAGAAAAATTGACGTCCTGTAGATGGCGTCCTCCTGTACGAATGCATTCTTGAAATCTGCTGTTGAGATTCCTCATTGACTGCTGCAACATCTCAGCTGGGATACTGTGAATTTCATCTTGAATTCTAAATGGCGAAATGTTTACTTGCTCAAGGTCACTGTCTCGCAGTGTTGCCTCTTGCTCATGTCTGGCAATACGCACTTCAAAAATTCCCATTTTGGGCGGGGGGTGGTCACCCTGTATATATACAGGGTGGCTCTTTTAAATGTTTAATAACTTTTATAATTCTTAAGTTATACCTTCTATTTAAGGTAGCCTCACAGGAAGAAATCGGGACTTGTCAGGTCTGGTGATTGAGCAGGCAAGTTTATTTCGCAACTCCTTGAGATGATTCGATCTTGAAAAATGTTTTGGAGCATTTGAATAGTCTCTCTTGTAGTATGAGCAGTGGCTCCATCTTGTTGGTACCACATTTGCTTTTGTTGGGCCCGTACCCATGGTTCCAAAATATTTTGAATCATGAAGCGATATCGAGCTCCCGTCACAGTTGTCTGATTTCCATTCTCATCCTCAAAGAAATATGGGCTAATAATTTCATTTGCTGTTACTCCACACCATACAGTACATTTAACAGGTTGCATCTGGTGCAGCTGAATCAGCTGGGGATTCTCAGAACCCCAAATTCTGCAGTTTTGTTTATAGACAAAACCATTAAGATGAAAGTGGGTTTCGTCTGACATGATCAACTTTTGAAGGAAACCAAGATCAAGGTTCACTAAATCATGCAGTCTCATTGCATATTCCAATCTTTGTTCATAATCCCAAGGCTGGGGCTGCTGTACAAGCTGCATTTTGTAGGGAAACATGTCCATTTCGTGCAAAATTCTTTGTAAGGAGGAACGCGAAACTCCCATTTGTATCGATCTTCTCCTGGTTGAAACAGATGGATTTTCTTCCAGGCTTCGCCCCAATTCTCGTTGATTCTCAACAGTTCTTGCCGTACAAGGCCTTCCAGATCTTGGGAGATCACAAACTACACGCTGCTCCTGAAAACGGCCAACTATTCCGCGAATCGTGTTTTTGCTCGGGGCTTCTCTGGCATTGAAATGTCGACGTTAGGAAAGCCGTGTTTCCGAAATTGACCCATTGTACTCAAAGTACCACTGTACAATGAGGGTTCATTCCT